GAGGCTTTGGTATACAAAGCAACACAACACAAAGGTTTCTGCCTCATAATTATATACACGGTTGTATGTAAGTATGAAGCTAAACATGATAAAAATAGGCCGTTGGAATTCCTGCCCCCGTCCCGACAGAAGCACTCAGCCGTACTCCCTGAGTCCCGGACCTGCTCCACACCCTAACCCCTCGGAGACCAATATCGTCAGGAATCCCGGGAGCTAATGATGTGATTGCGTGTAGCCTACTTGCTAGGTGTGAGGGAAGCAATCTGCTCCAGGATTATGGCGCGCACCTGGGACCTGATCTGGTACTGTCAAATTCAAAGTCCTCAGGCCCGAAACCCTGAGTCCCATGGAACCCATGCAGGAACTCTTATCGATCTCCTGGCCCCCCCGCCCCCACAAACTTGCCTAACCAAGCTGCAAACACTAAGAACGTGCGAAGCACGCACGTCTGCCTACTGCAGATAAACAGATAGACCGATAGTTCGATAGGTCGATGCAGATCGATGGACATCGATGGATCTCAGTGGATGGCGATGGATGGGGATGGACTGCGATGGATGGCGATGGATGGCGATGGATGGATGGGTGGATGAATGGATGGATGGATCCATGGATAGATGGATGGATGGATGGGTCCATGGATGGATGGATCCATGGGGGGATGGATCCATGGATGGATGGCTGGACGGCTGGACGGCTGGATGGCTGGATAGCTGGATGGCTGGATGGCTGGATGGCTGGACGGCTGGATGGCTGGATGGCTGGATGTTTGGATGGCTGGATGGCTGGGCGGCTGGATGGCGGGATGGCTGGATGGCTGGATGGATGGATGGATGTACATACAGAGAACTATGCCCTGTGCGTGTAGGCGGGTGTGCGTGGTCGATACGCGACGATCTGCAGTTTGCCTGACTGTCTCTTCACATACATGTTTACGTTGCTCCAACATGTCGTATCTACAACTGGTGGAGACAAACGCTCGTCTGCTCGGTCCGTGCTCAGTACAAGCCCTACCCTAGCCATCTTGCAGACAAAGTCTTTCGCCTGCCCATGCAAACAAACTGAACAAGGCGGGCGCACTGATGCTACCAAGCTAGATACACACAGTCAGCGCATCACACAGAGGGGTCCATCCATGCGAGTTGGCCGCAGACTGTCCGCCATTCCCTCTTAACTCTTGAAAATCGACACGAAAAAAGAATCTCAACACGGAATGTCTCCGAGGCCTCTGGATGGACGAAGATGGACCTGTGCGGCAGTTCGGACGTCAACTAGTCTGCTTATCATAATTTCCTCTTTCTGTTTAGCCGAACGACTTGCCTAGGCCTAGGCATTTGCTACACTAACCATCTGATGGCTTTTGGTACTACTACTTGCACCAACGTTGCAGCGACTAGTACTGGGACTACAGCAGCTACATTAATTGCAAAGGCAATCATGCGAACGAAATCGCAATCGTAGTAGCCCACAACAATGTGCAAAACCATGTGTTTAGCTACACCAAGAGCTGGCAGGGTCGAGGATTGCAGGCATGCTTCTATCCTGGGTCTCGAAAGTAGCAAAGCAGCTCTTGAAGCTTGCCGCCTCTGAAGTGATGACAGCAATACTTGCTATCCCACTATCCCAGCACACTGTAAGAACAACAGGGGCAATAACTTCCTCAAACAAAAAGCACTGCAACTCCCGGGGCTGTTGTGTTTCCATAGTCCAGCAGTTCCTAGCACTCTTGCTGCCCTTACCCCAAGCCAGCCGTTGAATCGAGGCGTCACAGGATGGCCTGTCCACCTCGTTCTTCTTTGCAGCCCGGAAGTGGACGTCGCACTGCACGTCAAGGCCTGCAAACATTCGCCAGGTTCTGGAGAAATCCAGTCGTACATACACTTTGGAGGGGACAAGCAGTCTGCCATGTTCTAACTCTTGCCCGGAGCCTGCATAGGAGTCGCACATTGCATGGACAGTCCAGCTGAAGTCGCCGGGACGTGGAACCTATTGGGATGATTCAGTGCAGATAGTGATGTTTGGCAAAAGGGGTCCGAGACTACAGATGAAAGGTACTGCAGGACACCGTTAAGAGTTTTTGGAGTGCTGACGGGCGGCAAAGCATGAAATTGAAGCTGCTGCTGCAATCTGCAAGATTAGACTCGGACAGTTCATAACATTAGCCCACCACAATGACAGAAGTTTTCGGCTTCTCCACACGATGACCACTTGAAGCGGCGCTCGTCAGAACGAAGGTGAGCAGATTGGGCCCCCGGCGATGAATGTCACATTGCTCTTGCACTCTCTGCCAGTGCCCAAGACAAGGTCTGTCGCGATCATCCTGGATGCCAACGAAGAGCACGTGCAAAGCAGTCTGCTCATGTAACTCATCAAGCCGACACAACAACCAAGTGCCTGCTTGCGTCTGGTAAATTTTGGTGTGGCGAACGGCAATTGCAGCTTGACACTTGCAAAGGTGCTCTGATGGTCCTTCGACCACGATTGTCGTAGACCAGCAACCACCATTCCTGCACAACGCCACACATGCCAATTGAGATGTCGTATACTGTCGCGAGGCGCCGCTAGCCATGGCGGCAAGTAGCAACTTTCAGGCTCGCCACACAACAGAGGCGTTGTACCTTAATGATAGTCTGGCCTCGAACTTCACTCCTGGAAACAGAGGCGCATGAACTGCACCGACACTTTCGGTCGCGTCCAAGTTCGTGCGCGTGAGGGTGATCTGCCAGCAGACGTTGCTTCAGTCGCCCTCTTCAAACCTATCGTCCGTGTGTCTTAGTTTTCATGGACACCCAAGCACATGACTCAAGCTAGCAGATGACTAGATCAATCGGCTAGTTCTCGTAACCCACGGAGCAGGAAATCACCTGGACTGCAAGAGCAAGAGTTTTTTCGATAATTCGATCATATGAATCAACGGCAAAAGCTTGCCGGAAAGGCTTTGAGGGTACCAAGGTCCCCCTCTGCCATATCCGGCTCGTCGTTCACCTGCTCACAAACGAGACAGCCGAGACAGGCAAGAATCCCCAATGGCCTCGACCACATAGCTTAACTCCACCAGGGGGGCATGTCTGCAGAAGGCTTGGATGTCCAAGACCTTCAAACAGGCAACTGTCGGTGGCGTAGAAAACACACGTATAAGCCTCCGATCAGCAAGTGCCGTCCGGCGTCGTGTCGCTTTGAGTGTCTGCGAAGACGAGAGCTCTACGCACCACCGTTTCGAAAGGGTGTAGTGGGGGAGGACCGACTCTTGTAAGCCTGCCTCCAATGAAGCAGGGATGCTACGGCTTTTGAACACCGCGCATGTTGCGCACGCGCCAATGCATGCGCAGATGCTTTTTGGTCGCTTCTCTTCAGGCACGAGCGAATCATGAAGGGGCAGCATCTTCCTCAAGATCGCTGTCAGCATGATTCTGGATGCTCGCAAGCCGATTTGCTGGTTACTGTCCCTCGAGAACCTGGTTTTTGGGTGCCTTGTCATCGGCATTTGGATGGTATCCAAGTCCTGCCTCGTGTTCACCTCTGTGGTGACCCAATGCAATTGGGGTCACACCTTCCGATTTGTGGGCTGGCTCTCACATCATACAATCGGCCGACGCTGACACTGTTGTCATTTCACGACGACTTGGTTTGTGCTTGCGCACCCTGCTTCCGATCATCCCAATCTTGAAGCTGCTCTGTGAAGGCCTCCCGACTATCGATCATCTCCTGTTGGATCATCTTCGATGTCTTTGGATAGTCTTGGTCAGATTCACCCTGTCTGCTACGAGAATGATTTTCGAACAATGGTTCATTTCCTCTCGTTCTGCTTCTGGCCGCGAAGCGCGGAACTCTCTGTCAGCTCTTCTTGGAGTGTTTTTTGGTGGCATCTCTTCGTTGCAGCCACCAAGTCTGGCGGGATGAAGTACGAGAGGAACCAGGTGATACCAAAATGCTTGTAGAGTATTGACACGGAAGGCAGCTGTCCCACCTGTTCTGCGGAGAAGTTCCCAATTCGCCGGAGAAGGGACGCCTCGCCACACGACTCCACAACCTGCCAAGTCAGAAGATGCAGCTTTAGATGGCTGTGACGGGAATCTGCATTTGCTTCCCAAGCCCTATTTTTATCAGTGCTGCATGATGACTGAAACTGCATCTGCACTCCTCCCGCAGCGTCGGAGGATTTGCAGGTACTGACCTGCTCCGTTGCTACAGTTAAGGGAATGGAAACTGTTTGCCTTAATCATGATCCGCACACGAGCACAACCGCGTGCAAGCACTTTGCAGAAGACCTCACGTGTGGAAGTTGCAGCAGGGGTGAGTCGTCAAAGTCCATCGCCTCGCGGCGTGAGATAACGTACACGAGGCCACATCGAAGCAATGCAAGCCCTTCTGGATGTTCTTGACCAACAGCTACTGTAATTATCGATGGCCATGTAGTCGCTTGAAAAGGCATGCAAATAGATTCACACATCTCAGCATTGGAGCCATCCGTGCTTGGCGAGCCTGCACGAGGCAGCGCTGGAATTTGATGGAGCTGCGCACGACGTCCACAAAGCCTCAGTGGTTCATACATAGCGTCGGAATACCTCTCTTCATTCGCTGACAACGAAACAACATGCCATGCTCTGCTCTTGTGTTTATAGTGTAGAAGGGTTTGACCGAAGCTTCGGCAGCACAGAGACAAGCCCATTTCCAGCACTGAGGCTCACGCCGGAGCGGTCGCCTTCGCCGTGGGCTGCTATGGAGGTCATTGCCTCTGAGCACACCAGCTGACCGCTTAAGCGGTCAAGGCTGCAATCGGCAAAATCTTACCAGTCGAGGCCGCGGCTCGTCCCAACTTGGGTAGATGCATCAACCGCCCCGTCAACTCTGCCTCATCGAGTCTCGTGCCAAACATCTTTAGAGCCTGCAAGCCTTGCAGTGCAAGCTGCATCTCTCGCATGCGGCGACGCCACACAGGGAGGGGAGTGCACATGCCCAGGCCTGCACCGCTGGAGGCATGTGCCTGAGAGCGACGCATCTCAAGGCTCTTGACAGGTCTGTGGCTCCGAGCGAGGAACGGATGTAGCCGCCACATGTGAGCCCAGAGGACGGCAGTGCCGCGTCGGATCGAAGGATCGCTGAAGGGGCAGCTGATCCTCCAATTGGGAAAGCGACGGGACTGCACCCTGCGGCCCAGCTCGGCGAGAAGACGTTCGCTCCTGGGCTCCGCCGCAGCCAAGACGGACTGAGGAAAGACCTTTGTCTGCACCTGCGCTGAGGGGAGTGGCCGAGTGGCCCCCCACTCTTTTGGAAGGAAGGCGCCTCTGCCGCACTCTTGGGTGGGCCAGTCACAGGCCACACCTCCAACAGCTTCTGACTGCGAGGATGATCTGCCTGCGCCTTTTTGTGCCTCGACCTCCCACCGGCCATCAGGTCCTCACGATCTGCGTTGTATGTACCGCAGCCCAGCACTTACATGGAGTTGCAAACTGCCTTTGTTTCGAAGAACGCCTCTTCGACCTTTCCTGAGCACGGTCTACTGCCATGGCACACCAGCCCTACCGCAGCTGCATCCGCACGACAAGGTAAGGCCAGAACTCCTCTCCACTACCCGTGGCCTTGCGTGGGACCAGTGCCACTCCACCCTTCTACATGTTGCTGCCCTTGCCGCATCTTGCCGCCTGGACGAACTGCACAACCGAGCCAGGCTTCATAGGCTCTGGGTTTTTGCGGATCATGACCTCTCAGGGCCAGCACCTGCAACCTAATTCGCACATGGCTCAGCCTTCCGCCTCCAGCATTGGGCTCAAGTCCGCGCAGATTTGTCGACGGGACTGCGAGGGGCGAGGTGTATGATCGAGGCCATGGGGCCTGATTAACGGGCTCCGCCTCCACCGAGGCTGCGAAGAGTCCAGGCATGTCCTGGTCTGCCACCTGGGGACTTCTCCGCATGGCACAAGGCCCAACACCGTGGCTACAAACAGCGGCTTGCTTTGGTTGGACAGGGCTGGATGGGCATGGCCTCGATGTCTATGCAGGAGTGGAAAACCTTCAAGGTCTCCCCACACACGCCATTGCTGGAGATGTTGGACCCCCTGCGAGCGCAACACTGTCTGGCCAGACGATGGACGCTGCTTCCCAAAGCTTTGGGCCGCGCCTTAAGCAACAGCAGACAATGGAAAAGGGCACGACAAACAGCACGGCGAAGAACATGCACAAGGTGAAGATCTGATTCTCCTGGCAAGGGAGACACATCGCCCGATAAAGCCACCAAAGCTGCTTGAACCAGGACGTGCATTACTGCGCTCCTTCACCAGAAGCTTTGGATGAAGCGCGATTCCCATCTGTGCAGGGCCGTCATTTGAGGGAAGCAAAGGAGACAAGTCAGCTAAAGTATCAGATGAAAGTCACCAGGCTGTCTCTGGCCGCAGTTGTCTCCTCTGTGCATGCTGCGGCAGGCTTCAAGCTTGGAATCTGCATGCCAGGAGAAATGCAGCTCCGTACTACGACCTAGTTGTCACGACAACCCAACAACGGGCGGCTTTGGGCCCTGTCTATACAAGTTGAAGTCATCGATGACCAAGCCCCTCTTTGCGGGAGACAGGTCTAACCAGAATTTGCAGAAATTGCACGGCCAACCAGCGGCTTCTGCCGAGGCAGTGCGGCTGCAAACTGCCAATTTGCCTAGCAGAGACATGGCACCCATGAGGAAGTTCGAAGCGCTGTGGCTTCATAGCATGATGCAGCGGGTTCGGATTGGAAATTATCGCGATGTATTCTCAGGGACACGTACCAAGCTACAAGGCCCTGCCACGTTGTGTTTTACGCCGCTTGGCAAGATGAACCGATGTTGGGGATAGCTAGAAACGTGGTCCTGCACTTAAATTGACTTAAATGTCGTGTTTGCGTGTTGGGGATTGCTGGGGCTGGCCATAAACTTGTGTCATGCTCTTGCTGGTTCGGTGGTGCTAGGTCTGTCTGCGCAGGTTTGCTTGCAGTTCTTTGCGCAGGCTTTAAATCTGCTATCGTTGAAGTGTTGCCTGCGTGCTTGCTGCAAGATAGGTCGATGTAGAGCAGTGCAATATGATGATTCTGGCAAGAAGCAACTGATGCTGCAACCGCTCAAGCATCCATTGTTCAGTCATTGTACCTCTCCGTTCTGCCTTCATGTTCGATGTTCCTGTTTGCAGTCTCCAAGAATCCTGCACGGTCTCGCGCATCAGCGCCCTGTTGTGCAAAATCACATTGGCGAATTCTGTCAGAGCGTGAACTCTGTCGGTGCCTGCTTCCAGGTTTCCACTCAAGGTGGTCATGCACTACTAGCTTGACCGTCGTGCACAAGGTCAAGACATGTTACGGCGCTCATGTAAGCCAGCATCCGATCGTTTATACACGTCTCCCTCCTGAGCTGCCAGAACACCTCTGCATGCTTCTGCCTTTGCGCGGACAAGTGTGAAAATCGTGGTTTCTCAATGGGCTGTGGCTGGACTGTTGACTTCCTCAGTGGTCAGCCGAGAAACTACTCAGAGCCGCCTCAGAGAAGCCTCTCGGTCGTCGCCACCTCGGCATGGGCTTCGTTTTTCTGCAACTTTTGCTGCACATGACTTCTGCCGGAGAAATTGCAGAATCGATGGCTCTCTCCTGCGCAGTTCTCCAAAATGCCAAAAAAGGTTGCTACTTCTGCGGGGAACATCGTGATTCACTGCACGAGTCGATAGAGACCGTCAAAATACCACAGTAGATATGCACATGATGATCGCAGACATATCAGTTACCAGAACCAAATCTACCAGACTATCGCTTAGACCGAAAATCCTTCGGGGGCCAACAAACACGACGAGCACCGCACTGGCAGGCATAACAAGAGTGAGTAACGATCAAAAGCCACTACCACCGCCCGTCACCACCACCACCACCACCACCAGCATCATCATCAGCATCGTCATCATCATCACCATCATCATCATCGTCAGCAGCAGCAGCATCAGCATCAGCATCGGCCTGCAGACGTCATCCTCGTCATCATCATGAAACCAAAAGGGCACGAGACACAAGGCCCCGACTGAGCGGTGTGTCTTCCCGCGGCTGTAGCACGGGAGCCGCAGCAAAGGGCAGCCAGGTGCCAGATGGCCTCTCTTGGCTTAGGGTTCAAGAGGGTTTTTAGGCTTTAGGAGATTTCGGCTCGGGCTCCCAGGATATGCGGCTCTGGGCTCCGAGTTTGCTGCAGTTCGGCGAACGCTTCCCGAACCGGATTGCCCCTCGAAAACTCGATTTGCAGAAATCGAGAAGCGAATCCACAGAAACTCTTGCTGAGAAGCTTCAGGCCGGAAGGCAGTCAAACTGCCGATGAAGACTCTCAGAGCATACACCTGTATGATTCCATGATAAAGGTAGTCTCGGATTTATAAGGCTCGAGTTTGTTATGGGCTGTGGCATAAGAAATCAAGCGATCTCCTGAGGCTTCAAGAGTCCGGGGGGGTTTGAATATCTTCTGTGTTCTAGGAATCATGCGCAGACCGCACCTTCCGCAATCTCGCACTTGGCACGCTATTGGAATGCCAGCGAATTCGACTGCCTTGGCTTGTTCGGGCAGTGCAGTGCACTGGGAACGCGAGTTGGTGCGACATCCTCACCAGCCACTCTGAAATGACAGTCCGGTTGGGAAATTTGAACCGCCGTCCGAGCATCACAGTCGGCAGTTGTAGACTAGTCCATATCGGATTCCTCCTGGCCAGAGGCTGCATCGAAGCTGCTACTAGTAGTTCGTCTTTTTGTATAGTCCTCCTCAGCCAAGTCTTTCGCCTTAGCAATGACCACGCGAAACTTCGGAGGCGAAGTGAGCGCAACTTCCCGGCACCCCAACCCTGACGAGCCAAGTTACAGGAGTGAGCCCTTCTACGTGTGGGACCGCGGTGCCTGGGTAGTTCACGGTGACACCAACTGCGATGCTGTTGGATACTCTCGGACTCCTGCCACGCTCCAGCGTGTCAAGAAAATCCTCATCGTAGACCTCGACCAGCGCAAGCCCTCCCCAAAGCACTTAAGAAAGAAAGTAACACTGGGCCCCATGCAAACTTCTTACCACCCGTAGGCCATGGAAAGCCGCAGCCTGGGACATGCGCAGGGCTCCACCCTGGTACAAGCGGAAGGGTCGAAAGGCCGGGTGCACGACAGCCAATGTATTCTGCCTCAATCACAGCTTTGAACTGTGCTGGCTCCAGCTTCGATGGCCTCAGTTTCACATTTCCAGTTGTGTCCCGGAGTCGCGCACAATGTGAGATCGCAGCACGGGCATTCCTGGCATCTCCAATCGCCTTCGAGAGCTCTCGCTCTCTCTCTCTCTCTCTCCCTCCGGCTCCCCGAAGCTGAAAGATCACGAGAAGGGCAGAGATGACGAGCCTGGAGGGCTGCAGCACGCGAAGCTCGCCGTGCTCCGACTTCTCGAAGCGATGCACACGCCTCTCCGATATGCCAAAAAATGCCAAGCGACTCCGAAGACAGCCCTTCGCAAGCACTCGCACTCACAGAGCCCCTGGCTCCGGTCGCAGGTGGACCTGGAGAGGGCTATGGAGATCTGCACGAGTCCGAAACCAAGGAGCACCCGGCAGATGCCCGGCCGTCGTGTAGGCGCTGTCCGGCTGCTCGTCCATCATGGCGAAGGGATCAAAGGCCACCTCTCCCTGAACCGGCATTTCCTCCCCGTGCGTTCGTGCTCTGGACACCGTCAAGGCCCTTTGGAGTCTTCAGGGTCCTTGGTGCGAAATCGGATGGGCTGGCCATCGGCCTGCTGCCAGTCCACGGTGTAGACCTCTCAGAAACTTGCATCTCTTTAGAACATACGCCTCCGAGTGGCTTGAAACAGAGTGAGCTTCCAACAGTAAGGGGTACCGGGAAGGTGACGGAGAGCAGGTTCGCCCACTGCGACCTGGAATCTGAATCCTAGCCAAAGCAGCCGAAGCAAGCCGATCAGGCAAGACCTTTTTCGCTCAACATGTCTGGAACCTGACATGAGAAACTCGTGCAACTGGTATACCTTATGCCGTATGCCGTATGCCTTATGCCACAAAGAAGAGCCTGCGCAAGCCCTTCAAGCAACGGAACGCCAGGAAGGCACTTTTCCTCGGATTCCAATGGAATGCATCTTGCTCTTGAGCGGTCTCTGTCGTCAGCAGATGGCATGCCTTGTGCAGAACGAGTTGCACTGTTGTGACCAAGCCAATCACCGCCAGGTTCACAGATACCTGAGCCAGGATCAAAAGCTGAGCTCGGGACCGACCTCGCCACAATCGCATCACCCCAGCAAGTCTTACTTAACCCAACCCAAGCAAGACGGCGCACAGGCGAGTAAAATGCTCCAACGACACGATGCCGGCGGCACACGAAAACAAACCCAAACACCAGGCTCACATGATGGTGTTACGGCTTCCCCCTGCCCTGCATGACTGTAACATGCTCAACACCGTAAGCATCTCAGACACAACCCCCATGCGGAAGCACCGGCATGCAAGGCTCCACCAAGCCACATTCAGGGACATTGAATAATCGCAGCCACATGTGCAGAGGCTGGTCCTTGGCAGACATGTCACAAGGATGCTGCTCAAGAAGTACGGGGGACGGAGAGGGCAAAAAAGGCACAACCACCACCGCTACAACTGCCGTTAGTTCTGCTACTAACGACAACGACGATTGCTGCCGCTCCAGTACCACCACCACCACCACCACCACCGACGCCTGAAGTCTCTCGGAATGAATGAGGCGACGTAGTAAATGTCAGTGCTGCTTGAACGCTCACCAGTGCCATGTACATTTACGGCCGCAAGGCTGGTTTGGGAAATGTCACACGCGCTGGTAAACTTAGGCGACAATACCAAAAAAACTGAGCAATGCTGCAGATACGGCTGCCATGTACCTGTTGGCGATTGGATCAGATAGATTCTTACGGTGCGTCAGTTTCCATGAAGTGAGGAAGCTGACTTACCAGCATGTTTGCGGTACGTATTGGGTTGCAACCACTACGCATCTAGCGCACGCCTACACCCATCACCGGAATCCAAAAATCACCACAACAAAAAGCTCCAAACCCGAAATCTTCAGAAATCTCCCGAAAGCACCTAAGCCCCAAAACCCCACTAGTCGATAGACCAACAACTCTCAGCCGCAGAATCCTGAAAGCCCCTGCAGACTCCTGAACTACTACTACTACTACTACTACTACTACTACTACTACTACTGCTACGACCACCACCACCACC